GTGGTGAGTCAGGGACCCAGAGTGGGAGAACCTCTTCCCACACTCGGAGCACTCATGTGGCTTCTCCCCGGTGTGGATGCGCTGGTGCCGGGCCAGGGACCCATGCTGGGTAAATCCTTTCCCACACACACAGCACTGATGCTTCTCCCCTGCGTGCATGTGACTGTGCCTGGCCAGGTCGGAGGGCTGCTTGAAGCTCTTTCCACACTCGGTGCACTGGTGTTGCAGCTGCCCGCTCTGCACACACTGGTGCTGGGACAGGTCATGTTGGCTGGCAAAGCTTTTCCTGCACTTGGTGCAGCGGTGCGTCTCTCTCTCCAAATGGATGCGTCGGTGCTGAGCCAGGGAGGAGAAATCGGTGCAGGTCTTACCACATGGGACACAGCGGTACTGATGCTTCTCCCTCTGCACAGGTTGGTGCTTGACCAGGCCTGAGCTGCACGCATAGCCTTCCTCAGGAGGCTGCTGCTCACCTCGGGAAGGCAGCCAGGCACCTCCTGCAAGGGGAAGAAAAACTCCACGTTAGTCCCTGCTTTGCTGGAATGGCTTCATCCTCTAACGGGCTGAGGAGTAGACCAGAGGCATCTGCTTAAAAGAAGAAAGTGGTTCTCTAAGGGCTGCTCTGTCCCACAGCACTGGTGGGTCCAGAGGGAGATGATGCCGAGCCCTCCACCTGACGGGGCCGACATGCTCCAGAAACCAAAGGGCACTGGTGAGACTGCTCTCCAGTGCTCGCCTCGATCTCTGGCAGTGCTGAGAGCAGCGTCTGGCTACAAGGATGAACAGCCTCACGATGACTTTCTGGGCTTTGTCAGCAGGCGTGGGGAGCCCGGCCTTGCACCGGCCCCGCTGCTTCTGTCCTTCACACAAGGGCTGCTTCTGCTTGGTGGAAGAAGCCCATAGTTTTCCTCCCTCATCCCTCCAAGAAATATTTTGTAAAGGGAGGACTTAGAGCAGGGGCTGTCTCTTGGAAAAGCAGCAGGGCTGTGCTTCCAAGGAATGGGCTTAGGACAGGGATGAACCATGGAGGTGTCCTCTGCTGACAAGTCCCAGATGACCTCCAAGTCACTGAAGTCTGCAGCAGGGCAAAGGCCTTGGCATCACCTGCACATGGGCACTGTGCCGAGTCTCATGGCCTGTGACGCTCATGACCCCCAAGATGAAAGAGGAAGGGGAAGAACCTGGTGCAAACCACGGGGGATTCACTTCCCCCACAATGTGAAAGCTCGGGAATCCCACACACCCTGTGGAGCCATTTCATGTAGCCCAAGACCAGGATTCAACACTTTTGGCATTCCCAGTTAACCTGACCAGGAGAAACCAGGGACAGCCCCAGGCTCCCTCCTCTCCAGCAATACAGGCTGCAAAGTGCTTCTGTCAACCATGCAGATGTCCATAAGGGATTGCAAAACCCATCATTGCCTGGGAGAGGGTGATGTATAAGTATGGCTAACTTGGGCTCGGCAATCAAGTCTTACATTGCGGACTGAGGATGGGAATGGAAGGTCCTGGTACCCCAAGGAAACCAGATCTGTGCCTGAAGAACAAGACAATAAACACACAGCTACTTGTCTCCATAGCTTTCACTTCTGGGGAGTGGGAACACCTTCCTGCACACGTCGCAGCATGAGCTACGTGGGGTCAGCCCCTGCAAGGGCAGCACCAGGCAGCTCTGCAGTTTCCAACCCCCGTCACTCGGGGCAAGGAGCATTTCTGGGAAGGGGAGCTGTGGGACTGGATAGTCACAACTCACCTGCAGCCAGGTCCTCCCGCTGTGAGCTTTCCCCTGGCTCCTGCCCAGCACAGCCCCAGAGCTCCCCCTGGCCTTGCTGGAGACGGCAGATTAAATCAGGGGTGGGACCTCGATATCCTGTTTGGGGCACGAGTTAAAGAGGGTTTGTGATTTGGCACTGCATGCAGAATAACCAATCGCAATGCAATCAACTCGTGGATTCCCCTGGGGCCTTGGAGGAAAAAGGAGGGTGGATATTTTGGGTGAAAGGGAAGGCACTGCAGGGAGAAGCCTTCACTACATGATGGTCCGTGTCGCCCGGGTAGTGGAGGGATGGTTGTAGGCAACAAAGCACCAACCAATCGGAGGTATAAAAGGCTATGAAACCAAGTCTCCAGGGATGGGGAGACTTCTTCTGTACAGGACCCTCAAGCAAAAAGTTCAGGCCAAGGATGCAAAGCGGTGTCATGACAGAGCACTCCGGGCAGGTAAAGGAAAGCAGTACAGGTGCACCGATACATGGTCCCGTATCAGATTGGCACCGATATAAACAAAATGATCTATATAGGAAAAATTGTCTTCAAGCGGCCAATAATTTGGCTGATAAAGGGTCAGTGCTGGGCGCAGCCGCAGTGCACATGCAGTGAGGACAGCTGGCAGCATGGAAAGCGGGCAGCTGGTCCGTCTGGTTTGCTAGAAGGGGAGGGGTGGGTGGAAGGGGCATGGCAGGTGGCAGATGAAGGCAGTGATGAAGGCAGTGATGGAAGGAGTGATGCTGGGCCTGGGGCAAGCGCTGCCCAGTCGGAGTGCGGTGAGCAGGGGACAGAGCCGCAGTTTGTCCGGGGGGGCCCCGGGGGGGGGTCCAGGGGAGGGGAAGGCTGCTTCCAGCGCCGTGCACTGCTCATTTGCCGGCTCATCCGGCAGTTCCCATTGCTGCTCCTGCCGCTTATTCGACCTGGAGGGATGTGGGCAGTGGGGTCCCCCAGGGCTCGGTCCTCGGGCCCGTGCTGTTCAACATCTTCATCGGCAATTTGGACGAGGGGGTAAAAAGCACCTTGTTCAAATTTGCAGGCGACATTAAGATGTGGGGGGAAGTGGGCATGCTAGAAGGGAGGGACAGGCTGCAATTGGACCTGGACAGGTTCCAGGGGTGGGCGGATGAGAACAGGATGGGGTTCAACACTGACAAGTGCAAGGTGCTGCACCTGGGGAGGAAGAACCAGCAGCAGACCTACAGGCTGGGGAACTCCCTTCTCGTCAGCGCAGAGGCAGAAAAGGATCTTGGAGTCATTACTGATACCAAGATGAACATGGGCCGACAGTGTGGGGATGCGGTCAGGAAGGCTAACTGCACCTTGTCGATGCATCTCGAGCAGGTCCAAGGAGGTGATCCTCCCCCTTTGTGCGGCACTGGTCAGGTCGCAGCTGGAGTACTGCGTCCAGTTCTGGGCACCGCACTTCAGGAGGGATGTGGACAGCATGGAGAGGGTCCAGAGGAGGCTACCCACATGATTGGGGGCAGCAGGGCAGGCCCTACGAGGAGAGGCTACGGGACCTGAACCTGTTCAGCCTCCACAAGAGAAGGCTGAGGGGGATCTAGTGGCCTGTT